ATAAAAAGAGTGGAGGAAAAATTTTCAAAAGTTCCATAAACTTGGTACGTGCACTTCTTTCAGGCGTAGGACGGATGGTATTGAAAATGGACAAAATCGGACAATAACCACGCCTACCTACCATATAGCGGTAATTTTCAGAAATACGAAAACTGCGATATTTTAGTAACTGCTGAAGATAACACTCAAAATTGATATTTACAATAATTTTTAGACGAAAGATAAGAATATTATACATGTTTGGGAAATGGGCGTAGCCACGCCCACTTATGGTTACATGTGTATATCTTGATAACCGCTGCTCCGATTTCTTCCAACCTTGGCGCAATTGTTGGCCTGTGCGCAATCCTCGATAAATCAGTAAATATTAAAGATAATTTATTCGAAGTTGATGCTTGCAACTTACCTTTATGACACAATTTTGGAAAATGGGCGTGGCACCGCCCACTTATGATCACATATATGTATCTCGGTAACCGTTCTAGCAATTTGTACCAAACTCGGTATGGCTATTGTGCTTGCCACATAAAAGCAAAACATTGAAAACTATTGAAATCGGACTAGAATTACGGCCGCTTTTTATGTAACGGTAAATTTCTGAAATGCTTGAAACTTCAATATTTCAAAATTTAAGGCCGCTAATTTACTCAAAATTGATACACCTCAGCGTACTATATAGCGGTAGCTTTCGGAAATGTGAAAAACATATATTTAATTTTTGCGCCGGGTATTTAATGTTCGGCTCCGCCCGAGCTTAGACTTTCCTACTTGTTTTAATTCACTTTGGCCACAATTTCGAAAATTTTCACAAGAGAGACTGGGACTCTTACACCGTTGCAAATACGGATCCAAAGTGGATATATGTAGGAACGGGATTATACTTAGGGACTTCCATATTACTAAAATGTTTTTTCCGCCTGTGCATCATGAACCTTATTCACTCAGAACTCAATAGATCCAAGGCAATTTGTTTTATGTTTAAAGTTAAAGCCGACGAAGTTTAGCAGAGTGAAAAGTTTTATCCGCGTTCATTGATTACTAGAATTGCACCATCTCTCACAAACTGATTAAAAGTGATTATAGCTTTGCCTACCCTGGACTCTCTCGGAAGGTTGTGGATGGTCTTATCTTCCCTTGTAAGGTTGGCAATTAACTTCAACATCCCTTGTGGTCTCGTCGGTAAAATGACAGCGCATCTGCGGGAAAATATGCGTCAGATAATCCGCTGTCAAGACACTGTGAGTTATCAGAATCCCTTAGTTTTTTTTTATAAAATTTCTTCGGCCACACTCTAGTTTATTATTATTATTATTATTATTATTATTATTATTAAAGGAAAAGGAGAGAAGATCCCTTCTTTACCACAAAAAAAGGAGCACTGGTATGATCACTTTCGGCTCCACTTAAGTTTAGAATCCACCCCAAGCCGGGAAGAGCGCTGAAAGCATGAAAGGTGCTGATTGCCTAAAAGTCTGGTGTGGAATTTTAACTTTATTATATCTGATTTTATGATATTTGATAAAGACATAGTGTGGTTGGATATACTTACATACATATGTATGTGCATAGTTCTTCATATAAAAAAATTAGTGTGGCAACACTGCTCACAACTTGAGGCTAATCGGCTATGTATACGAGGAAAAGATAGAATCCGTTAAAGGTGACTGGTAACAAAATCAACGGAAATAAGGTCAATTGACACAATTTCGCATACTGGTGCGCAATAAAGATAATTGACATTATTACCTTTTCAAAAGCGAAATAAAATCCGTTGACATTATTGCTCTTCCAAAGATTAAATTTGCGTAGCTTCGCAGTATCCCGTGCCCGCAAGCCACACCGGCGTTTTTGGACATGGCGGCAATCGCACCGCAATACGAAATAGTGTCAATTTACGTTATTTCCGTTGATTTTTCTACCTGTCATCTCCGTTAAATACTTACTCCGTTAAATAATCACTCGTTCTACAAAGGAACAATTTATTCGCAGACAAGGACACTGCACACAATAGAGAGGCTCATCAAATTATCGGGCATGTAGCGTCTAGATCAGTTCTCCTCTTTCGAGCCCAATCTAACTATCCCTGTGAAACTAAGAACGCAGCTAGCTAACTTTGTTGTTGCTTTCGCATTAAAAATTTTTCGTTATACGACTGGAACATAGCGAGCAGAGAGTTGACGAATCGATGACGGCTATTCTTTATTTGTTGCTTAGAAAGTAGACCGCTAGTTATTTGTAGCAGAATTAAATTTATTTATTTATTTCATTTATTTATATTGGATTTACTTTCTTAGCAAAAAATAAAGAATATTCGTGGTTTTTTGTCTACCCAGTAAAATGTCTTTGGATTTAGCCAGCAGGTTTACACTCTAAGGGCAACTTTTCAGTGCGCGGCTATGTTTTAAACTTAGTTTAAACGCTCGAGTTGGTGGTTTAAACTGAGATTACGCTATCAAATGTCAGCCAGCTGGTTAAGATAAGCGCAGTTTGCGTGATCTACGTTTAAAATGGCTCTGCAAAACTGGCCCTAAAGGGTGATATGAGTAGACTATACGCTAATAAAGAATTGCAGCAGAACTGATATTGTAACTAAGTACGTGTTGTCTTTACATTACCTTCAGATAACTAAAGACTAGCTTTAACGACTGACCAGCTCGCATTTAAATTTACGCCTAAACTTTAGAGTTCCAACCTCGGCGAGAGCCTAAAAGTATGCGCCTTGAGCAGCGCGCTTTCCGCTAAACATAATTAAACTTAATCATGGCTTAAACGAAAGTGAAACCACATCAGCTGTCAGCTGTTCAAGGCAAGACTTGTTGATATTGTGCGGAACCGGCTTCGAGTGTATTGTTTGTTGGCCACCACGAAGCACTAGAGAGCGATTCGTTACGTCATTACACCATTTTCGCCGTTTAAACATATCGTGGCGTCACTGACGTGGATGATGAGGAAAAGGTAAACACAAAGTGTAATGACCGTAGAGCGGTATTGTAGTGTCATAGATATTTAGGCACTTGTTCTCATTGAAGTAATGTTAATAGTGCACGCTATTTATTTATTTACTTCTTCCAAATTTTATTTAAACCACTGACAACGTCCCGCTGTCATCGTTTGGAGCGCTCGCGGCGGTGAAGTTACTAATACAACATTTTTCTCATTACCTCTGCTAACGCTCGCCTCCTCAGCGTTTTCCATTCACTCTCGCTTGCTATCGCCGCGTGCTAATCGCACACACAGCTGAGCGGTACTTCAAGCTGTAGTGGTCGCGCCCGTGAATTGAGCGGATAACTTAAACGCTTTATCAAAGCTGTGTTACATTTAAGCTATCGCTGCGAGCCAAGTCAACTCGCGTTTAAGCTACGCCATAGCCGCTTTGGAGGAGGCAGTCCAGTGGTCGCGGGACATATTCTTCTACGTGACTTAGTTACGCTCCGCGCTATCGGTTTCACATCAGCCCATTGTTTCTCTGCATATGTGTGCAGCATTTTCGAAATTCCGAACTTTTGAAGTCTCTAGTCGACAATGCACTTCAATTGTTTCGCCGTCACCTTGGCGCTATCAGTCGCGTATGGCGCGCGCGCAAATACGGACGTCGAATTGCCTTTGTTTTCACAAGAAAGTAGCGACAGCAGTGGCTCCCATAAAACTCCAATAACACCGGTCAACTGTGAGATACCCAATGAGGCGAAATTGGGCATCTGCATGGAGGTGGGCAACTGCTCAGCTTATCTACAGGCGCGCAATATAACCGACGTATCCTCAGAGAAAGTGAACTTCCTGAAGAAGGTGCAATGCTCATGCAAAGATAGCGGAGATCGCATTTTTCAACCCTTGGTATGCTGCCCAGCCAACGGACAGGACTACTTATATCCTTCGTTGAAATTTTCGAAATTCGAGTATCGCCGCTTTCAAAACGTCACGGCTCAGTTCAAACGCAAGAAGTTGAAGCGTCGCATACAAACAGTGGAGCCGGCGCAGAGCTTCAACTTGCGCAACGAATGTGGCAAACAGGTGACGAACCGCATTTATGGCGGCGAGATCGCCGAATTGGATGAGTTCCCATGGCTGGCGCTGCTGGTGTACAACTCAAGTATGATTCACAATATATGTCCAAATGACATATATGTATGTAATAAAGTGATTGGTGGACAATGTGCTAAAATGTTTTTGTGCTCCGTTTCGTTCGCAGATGATTTTGGTTGCAGTGGCGCGCTGATAGACGATCGACATGTGCTGACGGCGGCGCATTGTGTGCGCGGCGAGGGCGTGCGCGAAAAGCGGGGATTGTAAGTGACCAAAGTGCTATGGCATATTCTGGAAAACATAAAAATAATCAATCTGTTTGAAAACATATCAGCAGTCAGTACCATGATTCAGTACTTCTTTTTTACTTAATTTTTACAGTACTTATTTTTATGCCGGATTTTCACTAGGCATTAAATGGCAAAAATGATAATGACAAAATTGGGCATTAAAAAATATTCGTGTCATTACGTTAAATAAATAGTCACTAAATTCATTTCCACGTGGCATATTTTAAATGGCACCAATTTTTTGTCATTTCAATGCCTAGTGGAAACTCGGCATAACAACGATATATATGTATATTAGACTGCATCACTTCCCATACAAAAAAAATCGGTACTATTTTTCCATTGGAATTATAAAATCTTTAATATTTTAAGACGTGCACCAAAATATTTCGGAAAAATATTAAGATTTAAGTGAGCTGGACCGATTTGAAAATACCTCCAAAAAGTTGAATTAAGATGTGTTGGTATTCGAAAAACAAGATGGAACACGAATCACATTTTTTTGGCCAGAAATAAATACAGCGTGAAAATACCTTTCTACTGAGATCCCATAAGTCTAAATCAGAACATTTTTGGCCCAGTTATTCAAGTTTTTCGTAAATCAATCTTTGAAAAAAGTAAAAAAACTGCATCAAAAATCTCATTCTTACGATTCCGTTGAAAGGATTTTTAAATATTTGTAAGCAGATTTTTTAAGTTTAATCTAATTTGTCATCTGAGGGAACTTTTTTCAAAAAGTTCTTTAAGAAACTATTTTTATTCAGAAAAAGCTTCATTTTTGAGGTATTTTCAAATCGGTCCAGCTCGCTTAAATCTTAATATTTTTCCGAAATATTTTGGTGGACGTCTTAAAATATAATAAATTTTGTAATCACGGCGGAAAAACCGCAACTTTTTTTGGTGATGCAGTCTAATGTGCATATGTAGATACATATCGATCTTTAGAAGTGACACAATTCAAAATTCTGCATCTTTTAAGTTATACGCTAAAAATGTACACAGAGCTTTTATTGACGTTTCAGCAAAAGCTGGAGCGAATTTTTGTTTTAATTTGTTGAAAAAACCTTAGGTCAAAGCTCCCTAAAATCGTGTGCGATATATTTTAACGTAGAAAAATTTGTTCGACAGAATGCTAAACGTGGGTTCTTTCGAAATTTATTCTCCCAACTAATTACTTTCTTCGGCTGCCAACTCCCGCGTAACATCGTGTGAAAAATATTTTAATGCCATTGGAAAGTCGTTGCAGATTTTGTGATTGTCTTTCAAATCATTTATACATATGTATATATGTATATCTATAAAAAGGTCGTTTTGTTCAAAATTAGTTATTTATTAAAAAAAAAGGTTCT